TGTGGGCCATAGTTAAAAATCATTCATTCATTTCTGGAAGTCTTTCCGAGGAATCTTCTGTGAAGTTTTAAGGACTCTTAAACTAAAACAGTCTCGGGTGGTTATCGTCGGATTAACAGTATTAGTGTATTGATTTCGTACCTCAGTGCATGGAATTCCGTAAGAGCCAATCTCACAAAACGAACAGATTAGTTAAAGTGTCTTGTAATTTTTACACATTGTGGAATTTTTAACACTTAATACTTTAGCACAGCTCTCACCTAGAACATTTTGGATCGATGTTGTTTCTAAAAGGTTCAAAATAACGACATGTTTAACGCCTACCGTAAATCGCATTTGGTTGTGCTTGGGTCAGCGGTCATGTTTTTTAGCCCGTTCAGTTATAGTGTTCTATTTGCAATTGTTTCGCTTTGTCAGCACTCGTGATTTCAGTCACCAAACAATTTTATTTAGCCGATTTGAAGGATAAAAAATGCTCTTGTAGGTTAAACAAGCCATTAGTAAGGAAAGCCATACACCAGACCGCTTTTTATGCTCTTCAAAATGTGCTAAAATCTGGCCGTTGGTTAATCGATTTTGAGTCAATAACATGGATATTTCTTAAAATATTTGTTGTGGACCAAATTGCGATCTGATTAGTTACAATTAAAGAAGAAAGACAGTAAAAATATGACGTTGCATTATTTTTTAGTGGCAGGTTTTATTTCAAGATATACGAATAACTGAATATGACGTTAATTTTGCTTAATTTTTGCCCATTTTATGCATCGGGGAGAAAAAAATAAAAAAGGTTAAAAAATATTGTTCAAACGTCCACAGGGCTCTATTCTGCTGAGTTTGAGGCCAGGTCATATTTTGGCTATTTCCATGTCTAGTTGATAATTACGAGTCGCCCTTAAGACCTCTCTGTGCATAGACAAGTTTGAATTAGTAGTTATGCTGTTGGTTACTTAAAACGAGAACTTGTTACTGTTTTTTTTTGTTCCTCTTTAACAAATTCTTTCTCTTCTGTCCTCGATGTAAGAAAAAATCGACTCCTTAAGATGATAATTTGCAAAGATATCTTTTGTAGTCATAAGAAAAAGCAGAAGTAACATGGGAGGGACCATCTCTCATATTTATCCACTTCAATTTGTTTGCAGCCAAATCAAACTACCTGTTCGTTGTACCTGAGCCCGTATAGTATGAGGTGCAATCTCTTCTTTATTACGGTGAGCAAAACATTATTGTTTATTTTTGTGTATGCACCTGATATCCAGATTTAGTCACAGGCCTTCTACATATAAATATTAAAGATATAGTACAACTACCTTTCTCAAAAAAAATTAGACGGTCAACAATCCAAATACAGTGGAAAACCGCTCTAAGGACACCCACTTAATAAGGAAACCAGTAAATAGCGGACAGTTTCGTTTGTCCTGACTAAAAGTTCACATATTTAAAACTAACTCGCTTAATACGGAGAGAATAGATTTAGGATCACGTTAACGGCAAACAACGAACGTGAATTTGTACCGCGTGACCAAGTTTTCTTTTTACTTGTCTTTTACTACTAATTACTTCTTTAAAACAATTAGTAGTTGCATGCAAGTTTTATCCATAAGAATTGTTTTGGACTGTTTTTCCTATTTTGAAAATTGCTCAATTTTAATTTCGCGTTTGCCGTTTGCTGTAAGCGTAACTCTAAATCTCTTTAATGATAAATGATCGTTAGGTTTCTTTAGAATAAACTTGTTACAGTTACAGTTAAGAAATTAAGCAAGATTTCCCCGTAAAAATGTCTCCTTAGTCTTTATATCGGTACAACATGTTTCCATGACGTTTGTTTGCTTGCTTTTTTTTCCTGAGACCCCATAATTAATTTGAGGGTTTAGGTTAACCCTACGCAAAAATATGTAAATGAAGATCGTGACGTCATCTTGTCTTCATCGTAAGCTTTGAAAATATTGTCGGGAATAGGCTCTCTCCTCCTCAGAGGCTCCCGCTGGGTATCCCAAAAAACTAGCAATAGTCGGAAAATAGCAAACGCGTGGGGGCGATGGGAAGAGGGAAAAGGCGGAAGCCTCTGCCATGTGATGCATTCAAGACTGGAACTAGGTTGCAGTATCATAGATGTTTACAAAATGGCGGACGAATTCCCCTTTTCGTGCGACCTTTTCAAAAGGTAAATCAAAGTGGAGAACTGAGATGCTTTAAATACTCTTAGATTGATGAACACTGATGTCAAGATTATTGCGAATTTCGTGAAAACACGGCAAGGAAACGGCTTGACTTTCGAAGAAGTCCTTCATTGCTCCGCACGCTTTTCCTTTTTCAGCTTTTGTACTGTGAAACTCGTGAGGTCAACTTGTGGCAAGTGTCTCGGAAACGGTGAACACCCTCGGAACATTGAAACAGACTTCAGTTAGAGCGATTAGTATTTATTCCTTAAAACTGACCAGATATACTGCGACATATAATTTGTTTTCGATAGTTTGCCACACTGTTATGTCTAACTGGAAAATTAAATCGGTGCATATGTTCATCAGTTGTTCAAGCATTTTTCACTCTATTGTCTGTGTAATTCAGGTGAGGGAAGTTAAAACCCGTGGTGAACAAAGCTTGGGAGCGTGGACTGTGGAATGCCAGGTCTTAATTACAAGTTTTATTCCAAGTAGGGTGGACTTCTTATTAACTCAATACTGTTTACATTCCAAAATGCTTGATGGCCAATTCGAATCCAATTCAAGTGTACTGGCTGTGACCTTCACATAGATACGTTACAGAAAAAAAAATGTTTAAGTCACAAAAGAAATTCCGATAGATTTCGAGGAAAGGTAATTAATGTCTTAACTTGTTGTCATATTTGAAAAGACGACAAGACTTAATTAATTTCCATCAACCTGTCTTGTGCCTAATAAATAATTATTTCTTTAATGCAATCAGCAGATTTGAAAGTGAAAAGTAAATGAAGGGCTGGGAGTAGGTGATTTTGTCTGGCAATTAGAATATGGAAGCCTTTGCTACTTCGTTAGAAGCCTGATACCCCAACTACATAAAAAAAGCTCAAATTCCCTGTTAAAAAACTGGTAACAGCCCTAAACTTTCTGTTTGGTTGTGTGGAAATTATGTTTTGGAACAACTTTGTGTAGTGGCAAGTAAGATTCAAATCAGAAATTTTGTGGGGGGTCAAGTATGTTTAAAGAATCATCAACCCTAGTCCTTGTCACAGAACAGGGTTCCATGTTTGCATGTTTGTGAGGAATAGAACGAAAGGCTTTACCAATAAATGCAATTTACTCTCAATGACTGGAAATACGTAAATGAAATAAAATAAGTAAGGTCACCGTGGACAATTTAAGTCCCCAACATAGTGGATCACAATTAAGTTATTTTTGCTGTGTGAATGCCTTTTTTTGATAAATGTATTTCTTTAGATATCCAAAAAAAAAAAAAAAAAA